TTCTACTAATTTCCACACAACAAGACGGTATTTGCTATCTCAGAGACCTCTATCCCTCTCTCAAACTAGACTGAAATTGGTCCATGCTGCAACTGTTATAAAGTCACATCAGCAGCTTATAGTCTCTATATGCTTTTCTTTCCTTACCTGCACTCCAGCTTCTTTGCAGGCTTCAATGACAGCTTTGGTTCCCATAAAGTTCACCTTATAAAACAGTTCCCTGTTGTCACTTGAAGGTGCTGGCGATGCACAGTGAAATGCCACCGACACACCTTGTAGAGCTGGGAGCAAAGCCTGGAGGAGACATCACATGAGACAGCAGTGAAGCAACAGCAGCACCACTCAGAAAGAGGAAGAAAATAAAACATGAATCCTTTTCTTATGGAAAAAAACATCACTAAATTTCAACACATGTTCCCTCCATAAAGATGAGCACCTGGAACAGGATCAGCACCCAGGATCTCCACTATGTCCTCTCCTTCTTGCTAGGCAAAACCACACTATGTATTTCCTTCCCAGGGAAGAACCTGGGAATTTTCTAAGACCTAGAGGCTACCTTGACTTAACAACCTGCAGTAGTCTCAGCACAGGTATGAGACTCCAAATTACCTGGAGACAGGAGCTAGAAAACCCAGCAAGCAGCAGGTTTAGCAGCACCAGTACCCCATGGCACTGTCTGCATTGGTGATGACTGGCATAGAGCTCTGAGCCATGGCTCTTTACCTTTCTGGGGAGATGCCTGTTCACATCATATACAAATGTTATGCCAAGGCTCAAAGCATGGCTGAGCTAAGGCAGAAGGTCTCAGCTGACTGTTAGAAGTGATGCACTATGCTGTTCTCACCCAGCTGGGGTTAGCCAGGAGAGCACCCACACACCATTACCAACAGGGACTGTAATTACACTGTAAGCCTGAGCTAAAAGTAATGCAAATCATGATACAGAAACAAGTTCTGCTCTTTTCTGCTGCAAGAAGACCTCAAGTGAATTCCTTTAAATGTTCTAGATGAAGGTTTGAAAACTGCTTTGGCTACTGGCTTCCCAGGGCATGGCTGGGGGCCATATCCACACACCCTTTACAACCTGTGCAATGCCTTCAGGTGTTTCGGTGCCTGAGGCAAGGCTCAGTAAGCTGCTCAAGGGAACATTTATTTAAACACACATCCCTTCCCTCTGCCATGCCATGTACTGTCTGTCATTAGTCTGTACCTCTTTGTCACAGAGGTCTCCCAGGAAGAACCTCACTCTGTCATTGTCAAACCTCTTCTGAATATCAAACACGTTGACTGCATAACCCTTCTCCAGGAGCTGCTCCACCATGTGCTGGCCTAAGAACCCAGACCCGCCGATCACGGTACATTTCTTACCAGCCTGTGGAGACAGGGAGAAAAGCGCCTTAACATGCAGGCATACACCAAAGTGCACAAGTAAACTGCTCTGAGAAATTAATATGCTGGAATTTTGCACTCATCAGTGTGTAGTTTAATTACAGGAGTCTATATTTAGGTATCAAAAGACTCTTCAATCAGTCTGTGCTTAAAAGTTCAGATACATCAATGGTCCACATGGCTCACGTGCTGGTTTGTTTCAGCAGTGGCCAAAACCAAGTGGCCAACCAAGTGGCCGCCATAGTAGTGAAGAAAAAGAGGAATGGCTCCCACAAACTCTGCCCTGTGGCAAAGCAAACAATCTGCTTCAGCCAAATGGCACAGATACTTCAGAACATTCAAAACTATCATCATTACCAAGGACAAAATCATTTTCAGACGATGTGAAACTTCAAGTTTCTCCAAGCTGGGAAAGCACAGGTCAAGGCAAGGATTGTCCTTTTCAGTCAGCCATTGGTTCTTCCTTCCTTTCAAGCTTGTTCAAATAAATGGCTATAGTCACTAATAGATTCCAGTCTGGTCACTCATGTAACTGAACTGAGACTAAGACCTCACCATCAACACAAAACATGCAAGCAATGAGTCTGAGGAAGCTTTCATACAAAGAATGCTCTGTCCTGGTTGGAAATAGGTTTGCTCCTTATTGTTGCTATACAAAGCCCCACCTCTGCAGTTACACTATCAGGCTGAAGGGATTTTTAACCCAGTGAGACCACAGAAAAACAAGTTACTCAGAAGTTTCCAAGTGCTACATCCTTAAACAAAGGTTCTACTGCAAAGTGTCAATTACACACACCAGAAATTAGAGGAGCGCAGCACTGCTGCTCAGTCACATTAAAGCATAACCAGTTATTTAGAATGGTGCATGCAAAGTACAATACGATTCAAATAATTAAAATAAAGCTCTAACGGGTTGGCCAAATCTGTGTGGGTTTGATAGTTGTAAGAAAACAGACAGAGAAAGCATATGCGAGTTTAAGGACCCTCTGCAGCTCACTCTCCGACTACATCAGTTTTGCACATGCTTTGCTCTTCAGCTCCCTGATTCTCTAAAGTCAGTCACACTCCGCTGCAGTGTCCTCTCCCCAGGTGTACCTTCTTCAGAGGCAGCCACTCCATTCCATCAGTATTTCTACTTGCCCCGCCCTGTGTCCTTTCTTCTAAGGGTCCTTCCAACCCAAACCAGTCCAATCCTATGATTCCAGCTCATTCTTCATCAACTGACAGCATCTCAGCTGTGCATCACACTTGAATGTGCTGAACAGTGCTCGACCGTGGCAGAACAACGCCCTCTAGCCCTAATTATCAGAATCATTTTTTGCCAGCACAGATGAGACCATCCAGGTGCTTCTGAATGATAGTTTTCCACTCCCTCAGCTACACTAGCAGTATTCTAAATGGTGATGAACAGCAGGGTATTTAGATAACCTTTAGTGCACTTTTAAGACACACAGTCTAGTGCACACCTCTTGGAAAGGGACCAAATGAACCAACTCCATGACCAGAGTCAGTGTAACTGCAGCTAAGGTGGTTGCACCTGGATTCATGAGCAGGTAGAAAGCCAGGCTAACCAGGATTATACTGGGTTTAGGATATGAATTACTACCTAACTAGTGTTGTGCTGTGAAGATATGACAGCTTGCTCACACTCCACCAGGATACTACATTGGGTTTTCTGTTTCTTTGTTTCCTAACTATCAGAGATTCACTGGTCCTCAGTAAGCTTCACATGGATTCGTAAGAAAATAGTTCACTAGGTAGAAATGTCTCTATAAACAACAGCCACAGGTAATGCAACAGAATAGTTGAGTAAATTGTACTCCTAAGAGCAATATCCAAACACCTTTCTGAGCTAGGCAAAATGTTACTCTTTCCATGTTCTAACTTCCTGTACTCAATGCAGCAACCATAGAGATGTTACAATGGCGTGGTAGATCTCAGGGACCTCAGCTGGGCCTTTATAACAAAGAATACGTTATAAAGCATGTAGAAATGCTCCTGGAGTAGCTAAACTTCCAGCCCTATTGATCTGGCACTGACAAAGCTGCTGGTGTACTTTGGGGGCTGGAGCATTCCAGGAGGTCTTTGGAACTAACAACAGCAAATGATTCCTTAGAAAAATCCCATTTTCCTTGCCAGTATCTCTACTAATGCAGGAACAGTCTCACATCTTCCAACACTCAGAAGTATTTATGAAAATGTTTCTGCAAGACAAATCTTCATAGAGCATCATTTAAATCCTCAACTCACTGATCTGAGGCGTGTGGCCATTTCCCAGGTGATTCACTCTCAACCCAATTCCTTTAAGAAAGAAGAGAATTATTTCATTACAATACTTTTTAACATGTTTATAGTTATAGAAATCCAGGTTGGAAGCCATTGCACTAAAGCAGAAGCATGAGAAGGGGTAATTCTCCCTGCCCTACCAAACAAAATAAGCAGTACAAGAGTAACAGTGACATGAAGCAGCTTTCTCAAAGGCATACTTTTAATATCATAAAATACCTTTATAACAAAGGCAACATCTTATTTTAAATGCTTGTGTTAACTTCACAGACTTCCTTTAAGTCTTAATATTTACATCCCAAACAACATGAACACAACTTCAGGTTGTGGCAACGTCCTCTTCAAATATACAGTTGTTCAAGAACAAAATAAACTCGAGTTCAAGCATTTCAGCAGCACCAAGCCCGCCTGTTCCAAAGCAACAGGCACAGCACATCCAGCTTCTCCCACCCCGGCTTCCTTCACCCCTTCCTCACCCCTCAGCCCCTACTCCCAGCACCTCAGGCCCCAGCTGCCCACTCCACACACCCACAAGCTACCCTTTTACCCTCATCGCCTCACACAACCCCCACCTTCTCTGCCCCCAGCTTGCCCCTTCCACACACCCCTCACCCTTCTCTAAGCTCCAGCCCTCTTCACAGCCCTGCAGCCCTCCTCAGCTTCCCTCCCCACACACCCGACGCCATGTTTCCTTCAGCCCCCTCAGCCCCTTCAGCCCCCTTAGATCCACGGTCCCCACAACCTATCCCTATATCTCTGTCCCTGCCCCGTTCTCTCTATCCCTGCCCCGTTCCCTCCATCCCGCCCCTCTGCAGCCCCCAGGCCCTCCGCAGCCCTTCCAGGCCCCCTCACACCGACCCTGCCCCACTCACCACACCGGCGCCCCTCACACACTCCACCACCCGCCCTCACGCCCGGTCCGGCTCCGCCCATCTCTTCACGCCCACCAATCAGCGCAGACGCTTCCAGCAGACCCCGCCCACTCCGCCGGCTCCCGCCACTTCTGCTCCCCCGCGCTCTGGGCTGAGCATCGCGTTAGGTGCCTGTCGCTCGCTGATTGGCCAGTGGCCTCTTCCCTAAGACCAATCGCGTTGACAGAAGAGGGACAGGCTCTTCCCCCCCTCACGTCAGTCACCTCTTGGACCCGCCTCAGTCACCTGTTGGCCAATAGCAATTGTCCAAGCATCTCCCAATAGGAGCAAGGGTTGCCATGGCAGCGGCGTGGGGCCATTAGCCAATGAGAAAGCGCAACTGCCAGGACCGGAGCCGCCGCCGGGCAGCGGCCACAGGGATGGCGAGTGCGGCCCGGCCCGGGGGCGGCCTCAAGGCCTGCCCTGCTCCGCTCCGCTCCCGCTTCCCGGTGCCGCGGCCACGCTGGGGGCTGAGGCTGCCGCTGCCGCTGCCCTGCGGGTCTCACCCACCCTTCACGGGGCGACGCGGCCTGATCCTCTTTGCTCTTGTGTTGCTGCGCCAAGGCCTCCAGCTTGCCGAGGCCCTCGCAGGGAGGCGCGACCCAGGGGAAGAAAGCGAACCCCAAGCTGGAGCTCACCTAGGAGGAGAAGCGGGATATCCGAGAGGCTTTCGACCTGTTTGACACGGACGGCACTGGGTACGTGGATGTTAAGGAGCTAAAGGTAAGACTGTGCCTAGTGCTGAAAGCACAGTTCTACTGAGGGTATGAATAATAGGGGCATAAACACCTAAACGTCCTTAAACGGGAGAGATCCCCCCCCCGGCTTAAAACGCTGTTGTCAACAGGTCCATTTGTCTCTCATTGTAGCTCTGTCCTGCTGCTACCACGTGTCTCCAGGGCTGGGCTGGCCAAAGTACATGGATAGTTCTGTATTCCTGTACCATCACCTCCTCTGTTACTAAAACCTCAAAAAAGGTGCCTATTAAAAATGTGGGATTTTTTCCCTGCTTGTGTGTTGCTGAGGACTGCTGCTTTGCAAATGGGGTTATCCGAGCTATGGAACACACCGGTGGGATTTGTTTTCATGCTTTTATTTATTGCAAAACGTTTTCAGTCCCTCCCCACCCCTGTCCTGTTGGAAGAATAGTAACCAATAAATCAGGAGTTACTTTGCTTTCAGAATTTGCCTTTCCTCTTTGCAGCTGGATATCTGTGTACTTGAGACCATGGAAACAGAGAGAGCCGATTCCAACTTGCCACTTGTGCCTTTATCAGAGGAACTAAGACTAAAGCATGTAGGTGAGCACTGGTCACCAAGTGAAGGCATCCTCTGGTGCTCTGCTTATAGGACTGTTGTCAAAGGCACAGAGTGTTTGAGCTGTGTTTTCCCAACATCCATTGGAAAACATTTTTGTCACTAGAATAAAAAAAGTCAACTGATTGAAGTTCCCTGAGGTCTCTCATCTTCAAACCTCCCACGTTTGTGCCATCAGATCTGCTTGTTAGAGTCCAGCAGAGCTGCAGGTGTGATGGAAGCTTCTTTCATAGTCACTTGGCTTGAAGTTGGTTGAGACACTTCTGGGTGTCCCATTTGTCATCTTGCTTACAATAGGCCCTGAAATAAGCTTTATTATCACTACTGCTATTCCTCAGTGTCTTGTTCCTCATTGCAAAGGGAACACTGGTAGCAATTCCCCTGACAGGAATGGCATAACATTCAGTTTTCCAGCAGCCTTGGAAATTGCTCTCCACAGTCCTCTGCGACAGTCTGGGATTTTTCCTTCAGCGTAAGAATGGCAGTGGCACTCTCTGAGTGCCCATCACAAGAATTTTACAAAGCACTTACCAAAATAGGCTTTTGTAAGAAAAAATCCACATTTTATCACAGAAAACACTTCTCCAATGCTCTGTTACAGAGCTTTGTCCTCCAGAGTCTCACCAGTTCTGAGCTGGGGGTGGGGGATATGTTTTTTCTGGGGACATAAGACTTGGGTTTCAACGTGATGAAGTTCAACTTTCCCCCCTTTCTCCTGTGGTTCTGTTTAGAGTTTTCTATGATTTATAATCGTTTTTCGTCTTTACAGATGGCCATGAGAGCACTTGGGTATGAACCTAGAAGAGAAGAGATCAAGAAAATGGTATCAGATATAGATAAGGAAGGAACAGGAAAAATCAGCTTCAGTGGCTTCTTAAGAGTGATAACACAGAAAATGGTATGTGACTTTAAAAAGCACTTCTGAGAGTGGTGGGGCACTTCTTGAAACATACTGAATAAAACCAGATATTTGACAGTAGAAGATCCCAAATCTGAAATCCCAGGGACATCTGGCCAGCTATGAAAGAAAAAGCATCCCCTGAAGCCCTGGTTCAGGAACCCTTCACCTTTTCTACATGTGCTTCCTTCTGGCTGGGCTTGGTTAAATTTGCTCTTCAGAGAGTTTCTTAGTCTAATGCTTGTCTTTATATTGAGTGTTACCTACCACATAACCACTACTTATTCTTCCTTAAGGTTGAAAAAGATTCCAAAGAGGAGATTCTCAAAGTCTTCAAACTCTTTGATGATGATGAAACTGGTAAAATCTCTTTCAAAAACCTCAAACGTGTCACCAGAGAGCTGGGGGAGAATCTCACGGATGAGGAGCTGCAGGTTTGTTTGAATGGGAATTACCTCAGTGAGTGAGGGAAGCTCAGGGTCAGCTTCCAGGCAGAGGCAGCAGCCACTCAGATTTAGCTGCTGTCCTCTAAAGGAATTGTTAGGAAAATCTGCCCTTCCTGGCAGGAATGGAAGAGCTCCTGTTAGGCAGGGATTTGGGATCGCTGATCTTCATGAGGGCTGGAGCACCTCTGCTGTGGAGACAGTCTGAGAGAGCTGGGCTGGTTCAGCCTGGAGAAGAAAAGGCTCCAGGGAGACTGTAGAGCAGCTCCAGTGTCTAAAGGGGCTACAGGAAACCTGAAGAAGGGCTTTGGACAAGGTCCTATAGGGTCAGGACAAAGGGGAACGGCTTTAACCTGCCAGAGGGGAGATGGAGATCAGGTATTAGGAAGAAGTCAACGTTTTGTCACATAACAGGTCTGGCGTTGTACCACTGTCCCTTCCAATGCAATGTACTAAAAAGTTGTTCTAATTCTGAATTAATCTGCTAATCCTAATCCAGTCTAACCTGGCATTGATTCCTGAACACAAATATCTTCCAGGAAATGATCGATGAAGCAGACAGAGACAGGGATGGGCAAGTGAACGAGCAGGAATTCCTGAGCATCATGAATGAGACCAGCGTTTACTGAAACAGTTTCACCTCTGTTTTGCACATATGTGTAAACATTTAATAGGCACCTCACTTTTTTACAGCCTTTATTTCTTTTCAGACAGCAAAAAATGTGGGTCAGTGTTCTTGACGTGAATGTTCTTACACTTGTGTTTGTGAGCAGTTACCAGCTGCAAACCTATTTAGGTGTAACAATGTGGCTGCTCCTTCGTGCTCATAAGATCTTTACACTCTGTGTATAGATCACATTTGTCAGTGCCGGTGTTCACACCCTTCTCTGATTAAAACCCATGTGTCAAGTGATTATGGTTTGGCAAAGAGAGGACTCAAAACCTGATAGTGCAAAGCTGTTATTCAGCAGTTGATGGTTTTAATTCAGTGCCTTGGTTTGGGTGCAGCTGCAGTGACCTATTTATATGACATATATGCAGGGATCAGCACTTTATACTCTGTTTGACAGTGATTACCCTCCTCCCCATTTTTAGTATGTTCTTTAAAAATAAAGTAATAAGTAAATAGACTGCTGCAACTTATGGTACTGCTGCTCAGTACCCACCTTCAAAGAAATCTCTTTGCAGCAGGAGAGGAAAGTGGCCAGAGCTGCTGCTGCAAACTCTAGACAGTTGCAGGAATATTCAGTGGCTTCACATATAAGATTGTATTTAAACTAAAGTGTCTTATTTTAAGCCATCAGAGTTGTGGAATGAAGCACACAAATGGCACAGCAGGCCCTCTGATCTGCTGCCAGAGAAACACCTGACTCTTTGCTTGCCCTGATTTACCCTCATGAAACCCAACACAGCTTCATTGCTTCTTTCATAGAATCCCAGACTGGTATGGGTTGGGAGGGACCCTAAAGCTCATCCAGCTCCAGCCCCCTGCCACGGGCAGGGACACCTTCCACTAGAGCAGCTTGCTCCAAGCCCCATCCAACCTGGCCTTGAACACTGCCAGGGATGGGGCAGCCACAGCTTCTCTGGGCACCCTGTGCCAGCGCCTCAGCACCCTCACAGGGAAGAGCTTCTGTCTAAGATCTAATTACCTTTACATGTGTATGGGTTCTGGAGAAGAAAACCTGCCAAGATTAAGAACCTGTGGCCACAGTGAGCTTTTAGGAGGTGAAGTTGTCCCACCACTCTCACCCACTTTCCTACCCTGTGAACTTCCTCTTGTCACGTTTTCATGAGCACACCAGGATAACATTAATCTAGAAAGGTTGGACCAGGTGACCCTTGAGGTCTCTTTCAACCTGGGATTCTATGATTTTCTTAGCACAAAAGAAGAATGTAACCTCTTCCCATTAGACCTGTATGCTAACATGGGTTTGATTCTGCTTTCATCAGTGTCACATTCATGCCCAAGTCTGGGTTCTAACAAATCCCAGCAAAACAAGTGGGTTTTGCTGCTGGTGATTTCTTCCTGTATCATTTTCCCACTCACTGGCCAACAAGTAGCACATGGAACATATCTTAATCCCAAGTAAAAGGCAAAAATGAAGCAGAATTCAGCCTATGTAAAGTGTCAGTTTTTATTCAGTAGCCCAACTGCGTTCCTGCCTTTTGCCACTAACCCATCTGTGAGGTGGAGGTGTGGAGCAGCCTTGCAGTGCTGGCAAAAATGGATGAGGAGTCTGAGACACAGACTATTCCTGTTGACACATGGCATGCTCATGTTGGGTCAGCCCAGTCACACTGACATGACCTAGGCAACCCCTCAGCCACTCTGAACCAAGGACAGTGGCTGTGCTTGAGCCCCGGGGAGACCTGGGTTTTGCATGCCAGCTCCATGCGTGCCCACACTCCAGTTCCTACCAAGCTTGCTGTCACTAAGGGCTCTGTCCTTGGCAGAACACGACAGCACTTGTATTCCTCTGGAGTTCTGCCTCCTCAGCAGCACCAGTGGCCCGATGGGGGGGAAGAACTCCATCTGAGCAGCTGTCTGCCTGCTGAGATGTGGATGTGAGAGGGGAAGAACGTTATCTGCACTCCAGAGGAGATGGATTCTGTAGCTTTGTGGCATTCAGGCAAGTCTGACCACTTCTTTGACCATCTTTCCAATGCCATCGTAGATGTCGTGGATGGGGGCGTTGCACATGAAGGCACTGGTGGTCACCAGCTTGTTCTTCACATCCACGTGGATTTCGGTGACGTGTTTGTTCACATGCTTACAACCAAGTTCCTTCATGGTCTCTGCAGTCTTGGCATAAGGCCATCTACAAGAAAAAAAGAGAATGAACCCTGGGTGGGAAGTTGTCATTGCACAGACTGACTGATGAAGCCAGGAATAAAAGTCTGGATTACAGGGAGATGGATGGTCCCTCCAGAAAGCCAGCTCAATAGGATCCAAATGTTCTCCTGTCAGAGGAGTTTCTCTGGGACTACAGAACCAGGAAAACCTCCACATTACAGTGACATAGTAAAACAATTCTCCCAGGTACTTGAAAGGTTTCAACTTTTAACTGTTAAGTCCCCCCAAGGGCCCTGGTTACTAAATGCTTCACTCCAAAGGCAGCAGCTATAGCACAGTTTGCCTTTGAAGTGGTGTCTCAAAGTAAGAGCGTAACCAAAGGGTGGCTTTTGCCATGTGTTGGAGGGAAACAAGCTCCCTCCTGTTACTTCTCTTTGTTTCACTGATCCCTCTGGCATCCTCCTTCCCTACTCCTAGTAAAGGGGAGGACAGATTCCTCCTGTCCAGGAATCTTAACATTGTCCTTACTCAGACTCTTATTCCTGTATGATTCTTGCAGTGTCTTGTACCCCACATGTTAAAACACTCCCATTGCAGAAAACTGTCCAAATAAAATCAGATTTCTACTTTAACAGGAGGAACATGTAAATTACAAAGGGGGGCATTAAAAATGCTGAGTATTTGGTTTATCAGCCAGGTTAATGCATGACATGGATCATTCTCAGAAATAATGTTCAGCTCATCACAAGACTTTCGCTATCAGGACACGACAGGTGGGACAAGGTGCTCTATACAGCAGGGGGGCATTGCTGATTCCATGACATTCCTGGTGGGATTTCCTCTGGGCACACTGAGGTTACTCACTTCTCACACTCTGTGTCATGACCCACTGTCAGCTCACAGCCTGGGAAGATCTTGGCTGCCAGCACTGGGGAAATGCAGCACAGGCCAATGGGCTTCCTGGCAGCATGGAATGCCTTCAGGACATCCTCCACCGCTTTGGAGATGACGCAGTTCTTGCCTTGGGTAGCCCAAGTACTCAGGTTTTTAGCCACTCCAAAGCCACCTGGGAGAAGAGAAACAGATTAGACTGGAAAATCAGTACTCCAGGGCAGGATTTTCCCAGGTATTACTTGGTAGGATGCTAAAATGGATTGTGTGCATGGCAGCATTTGCTCAGTGGGATAAAGGAATTAAGACCAGACAAGCTGAACGTCTGTGAGCTGACTGCCAGGAGATGAGGCATCACAGCACCTTGCTTCCCTCCAGGACTGAAGGAGAGTTATAAACGCTCTGATGGGTGCTGTGTTTCACAAATAAATTCTTTTTTTTTTCACCCATGGATTAGGGTGGAACATAGAATCATTGAGTCAGAATCAGCTAGGCTGGAAAAGACCTTTAAGATCATCAAGTCCTGACAAGTTTTCCCTTGTCCCTTAATCCTTGCCCCAGGCCTAATCAATCCCCACTGAACTGCACGGTCCTGATAAGGAGGTAGCATGTTGGAAAGGGAGACAGTGGGTTTGCATCCAGTGAAAGCAAAGCTCGGGAGATGGCAGGATGCTGTCCTACCTGGTATGATGAGGGCATCCAGCCCCTTGACATCCAGCTTGGCTAGGTCCTTGATGTTGCCTCGGGCTATCCTGGCACTTTCAACCAGCACATTGCGCTTCTCCTGAGTTGGCTGCCCTTTCACATGGTCCACCACATGCATCTGGTCAACATCAGGAGCATAAACCTCTGCCTGGAGAAAGAGGGGAAAAGTCTGTTATCCTTTAGCCTTGTATCCTAAGTGTGTTAAAGATGACAGGTAGTGAATGAAAACGCTTGAGTTACTTCATTAGGAAAGAAATCTATTTTCCACTCTCTATTATATTCCATTCCATTCCGTTCTGTCCTACTCTATCCTACTCTATCCTATCCTACTCTATCCTATCCTATCCTACCCTATCATTTGCTTTTCTTCCTTAGACCAGCATGACCGAGAAATGAAAGCAAGGGGTTGAACTAACACCTGAGCTTCCTCCACTAGAGGCCTCTGCTCATCCAGGGATGAGGCAGGACTCTGCTCCCAGCTGCCAGCCTAGGGAACAGCAAGAGGGAACCGAGTGCAGCAGCTCTAGCAGGGAAGAGGCAAAATTACACAGGCAGTGAACGAAAGGTCTGGACGAGTCTCAGCTTTAAGCCGAAGAGAGAATTCCTGCTTTGAAGGCTTTGGGATTGGGTGCTCTGGCTCCGCAGCACGGGTCCATCACTACCGTGCCGTTGCATTCCCATTCCCAGGAAAAGAGCTGAGGGTGACGTTACACAGGGCTTCCCTCCCTCCTCTGCCAGGCTCGCACAAACGGCACATTGGAACAGCTGCCTGAGGGTTGCCTCTTTTACCCCTATTCAAGTTAATCTAACAAGAACTTGCCTGGTTTCAGTTCTGATCTTCCAGGGGGTCAAAAAGATGACTTTCAAACAGGCCAAACAAGCAGTAATCTTTTAGCAGAAGCAGAGGAAAGGGAGTGCAAGCCAAGAAGAACTGAGAACATGCTTAGGAAAGTTTGTTTCAGGGTTTGGAAACGCTCCACGCAGAGCTCCAAGCCCTCATATAACAAAGCTGTGAGGGCAGAGCAGAGCCCAGGGAGTTCTCCACGCTGGCTGCAGCATCCCCTTCACTGTGCTGTTCACTCTGACTCCAGTCACTTACACTTGGCAAACCCCATGGCAGCAATGGGGAGCTCGGGGTTTGTCCAGCAAAGCTCCATTGAGATAAGCAGCTTTGGCAAAAGAGAGGGGTTGGGAAGTAGAGCAGGACGAAAGGAGCCGGAGATGGGGTTGGTGCTGCTGGGGTGCCTCTTACCTGTGCCCCTTCCCTGCTGAGATGCACCAGCACGGCCGAGGACTCGTGGATCTCACTCCCATCGTACACCCCGCAGCCAGCCAGCACCACGGCCACTCGCTTTCCCATGGTCACAGCCGGAGCAGGAGGATTCCCAGGAGAGCCCGGACTCGCTGTGAGTCTCTGTTCAGCGCCCGGAGTCTTTTATAGCCCGATCCCTCCCCCTGGAGCAGGTGGGGCTGGGAGGGTTGGGCTCAGACTCTTCCTGGCAGGAAGGTTTTATTTCCAGTACCACAGGCAGGGCATGTCAATATTATTTGTTTCCTCAATTGGCTGCTGCTTTGCAGATCTTCTTCCCAGCACGTTGTGTCCAGAGCATCCCCAGCTGACGTGACCCGCGCAATAGAGCAGCAGTGTTTTTCCTTCCCAGCCCTCCATTTTCCATTTCAGACCAAAGAACCAAAGTCTTTGCACATAGGATGGTACCAAAGTGAGCCTGCTCAGAGCAAGTATTCAAGCCAGTGTGGTCCTCTCTGTGTCCTGGTTTTTAAACCCTGCTCTCAAGCCTCAGCTTTTTAACACCAAGATTTGCCTTTCTGACCTGAATGTTCTCATCTTCATATCCCATCTCTCGAGAGCAGACGTTTTGCACTCAATTGTAGCTGTTTCCTGGCCT